TTGGTGTTTTTCTTCAGTGCATTAACCGTTGTGTGTGTGTGTGTGTGTGTGTGTGTGTGTGTGTGTGTGCGCAGGTTTGACGGCCAGTGCGATGGCTGCTCTGATTCTCATGACCACCTCCATCGCATCAGTGATGGGCTCCCTCTACCTGGGCTACATCCTCTACTTCGTCCTTAAGGACTTCTGCTTCATCTGCGTCACCACATACGCACTGAACTTCATCTTGTTTGTGCTCAACTACAAGCGACTGGTTTACTTGAACGAGGCCTGGAAGCAGCAGCTCCAAGCCAAGCAGGACTAGACACACAAAAACAACGATGACAAAAGTATAGAAGGATAACAAATCATCCAACACGTGGGGAAAATGTGACCTCTGAAAAATGTGTGACTTGCCACCAGGAGACCTTGCTTCCAAACAAATGTTCATTCTGTTGTGTGTGTGTGTGTGTGTGTGTGTGTGTGTGTGTGTTTAAAACGAAAAAAAAAAAATTATCTTTAGGGGCCACAGATCACAGGTTCATTGCATTGCAAGGAAGGATTGGAAAACAGAAACCCAAATCTTTGTCCGCTTTGATTTCTCGTTGGTTTTCTTTGTTCCCTGAGATGAGAGAGAGAGCGAGAGAGAGCGGTCGGAAAGCACTTACGAAACAAACAGGAGAGGGTGTCCTTTCCCTGAGGAATAAATAATGGAGAAAACAATGTGAGAAATTCTGTTTACTTGAATCCACTGGGAATGTCGTTGCTCTTTGGGAGCAGCTGATTCCAGCGGGACTGAATTTAAGGGTTATAAAGGGTAAACGCGAATGATCATGAGGCTAAGCAGAGATGATTCCACAAAAATGACGGATTGCTATCATTGAAACGACAAATAAAGTGTAATTGTTTGTTTACAGATTTTTATTTTATTTTTATTGTTGTTTTGGAAGAGGACCACTCATAAAACAAGGACGAATGTGAGCTGTATGTGTGTAGATCAGATTGGTTTGTGACTACTTTTTTTATTCGTTTGTTTTGCAGTTCTGTAAATAGCTACCCGCAAAGCAATATTCCAGACTAGTTTGTGTTTTACCGTTGAAACATTAAAAAGTCCCAATCTATGGCATGTACGTCACTTCCAGTGAGTGCTTTTAACAGGGATTGTGCGGGTTATTCTTTGTGCAAGTGTTCTAGCATTTTACTCATCTTAATGGGGTCTTGATCCAGGATAAATGTTGCATTTGTCGTGTTGGAATTACTGTAGTTGAGATGATTGAGACTTGAGAATAATTTTTTTCTCCGCAAGCGCTTGTTGTAACACCTGTTTTTAAAGGATTACTTCACAAAAAATGAAAATGTGTTGAAAACCTACTCACCCTCAGGCCATCCAAGATTAGGATGAGTTTGTTTCTTCATCAGATTTGGAGAAATGTGGCATTGCATCAGTGTCTCAGCAATGGATGCTCTGCAGTGAATGGGTGCCGTCAGAAGTCCATCCGTGAACATCTGGAGAAGACAAAAGCTGCGTGTTTGAAAGAAACAAATCCATCATTAATATGTTTTAACTTTTAACTGACGCTTCTGGCTAATATCCATAATAACGCTTCCTCCAGTGAAAAAGTCCATCTCCTGTTGTCTCTCACATCAAAATCCAGCCACATATTTGTTTAGAGCTGTTTTGGCTTGTAAACCGTGCTTGATCTGTGCAGATTTCTCTCCTGATGCAGACCAGAACACTTTTTCACTGGAGGAAGTGTTGTGGTGGATAATGCTGGATTTGTTTCAGCTTTTCTCTTCTCAAGTCATTAACTGATGGACTGGAGTGGTGTGGATTATTGTGATTGTTTTTATCAGCTGTTTGGACTCTCATTCTGACGGCACCCATTCACTGCAGAGCATCCATTGCTGAGACACTGATGCAATGCTACATTTCTCCATGAACAAACAAACTTAATGTTAATACACTCATCAGAAACTTAAATTTGTGGTAATTCCAACAATTTCAGATTGAAAAGACCTAATCAGTGTGTTCCTGGAGATGTCGGACATCAACTTTAGACTGCTTTTTTATTGTTGGTTTCATATGTACACTAAGGTTCCTTATAGAAGTAAGCAGAGAGATTTCACCCTCTCCCAGGTTTCCACTCTTTGTGCTCGAGTTTTTAGGTTTATATTGTCTAGTCCAGTGGATCTCAATTCCAGTCCTCGAGTACCACAGCTCTGCATATTTTGCATGTCTCTTATTTAACACACCTGATTCAGATAACCAGCTCATTAGAAGAGAGCTCCATGCATGAAGTGTTCCGATTGACATGATCCCTACACCGTGTTCACTGACGGCACCCATTCACCGCAGAGGATCCATTGCTGAGCAAGTGATGCAATGCAATTTAAATTCACGTCTCGCACACTTTAATGCCCTATGAATGGATACGCTCCCTTCGAACTGGAATCATGACAGAATATTCGGTGATGTCCACTTCACAGGGTATTTGCGGTCAAATAGAACAAACATCTGAAGTGATAAGAGATGCATACAAAATGTGCAGAGCGGTGGTACGCGAGGACTGCAATTGAGAACCACTGGGCCAGTCCATCACACTCAAAGCTACCGTTTCTTATCATTTTTGTGTTTAGTTGGTGATTTTCACGTGAATAGTATGAGACATCACATGAGCTGCATCTACTGTACGACTGTAAAGTAATTTACCATACTTCTGTTACCCAGAAACCCCTTGACCTTGACCTGAAACATCACCTTGACCTTTCCATGAAATTACAAGTACCCTCAATTCTTGATCCCCTTCACTTCTACCTCTCAGTATTTGTCTCTAGCTGTTTTGATGTCAACGGATGCAACAGAAGAGTCAAAACCTGCCAGTTTTAGTCCCTCTTTAAGTTTTATTTGGTGTCAAAGTGCGTCAGAGTTTTCCGTGTGCATTTGGATCCACAATATCACTGATGCACTTAAAAAAAAAAAAAAAAAAGGTTTTTGTTGGCATTGATGGTTCCTTAAAGAACCTTCAACATCAATGGAATCTTTCCGTTCCACTAAAGGTTCTTTATAATGAAAATGAAATATTAAAATGTTCTTCAGACTATGTAAAAATAATTGAAAGATTATTTGGGGAACCAAAAAACCACTCCCCTTTTGAAACCTTTATTTTTAAGAGTTTATTGTTTTATATCAGCACTTGCACTGTCGTATTAGACATTGAAAGTCATTATTTTGTCAGTTCACAATGAAAACTTGATCTGAATTTACCAACTATCCAACCCAGTATTGCACAAGTCAAACCCATCAACATTTACTGGTGATGTTGAGCTAATTTCAGTCTTCGAATTGGCCATCAGGTGTGCATTGTGTAGATGATGGGAGCTACTGGAACATGCAAATGTGCTGAATTGAATTGAATTGTGAACTTGAAATGACGTGAATGAAAATGAGGCTGTGAGTGATTGATCTTAAGACTGTTGGCCGATTGTTCAGTTGACAAAACATTGAAAATGCATTGTTTACTGGAAAACAGTAGATATGAATCTGTAAGTTTGCTCCTCACAGTCTTGTTTTCACTCACAACAATTTAAAAATGGTTTCTACCCAAACTAAACTCTATGGCTGGGTGGTGTTGAGTTATTCCTTGCCCGGTTGGTTTAATTTATTGACCTTTCTTTAGTTGATGATGCTTTTGTGAAGCAGTCTTTGTCTGTGTGGCTGAACTGGGATCTTCGTAACGTGTTTTCAGCCAAACTTGCGAACAAATCGAATGGTCGTTGGAGTTTCGCAGCTCAATTCTACAGCAGAGTTGATGTGATTTGTACATTAGTCGCGTGTTCTGTTGGTTTTATATATTTCACGCAGACTAATTATGATGCCAGAACATAATTTCTCCAATTAAAGTCAACATGAAAGAGTTTGCAACCCTTTTTACTTGAGAATGTGATGTTTCTCAGAGTGAAAATTGATTTTTATTGTGAATTGGATTGTGAAAAGGATCTGATTGTAAATATTATTTTTTTTTATTAACCAATAACCTGAGCAACATGATCTTAAGTCGTTTTATGTGCGTTTCAAGTTATTGTGCGTTGGCGAAAGATTATGAACATTGTAATAATGTGAATTAAGAGTAGCAAAAAAATGATTTTAGTACTCAGTATCTTTGTCTTGTTTTCCAGTGCAAATATCTAAACATTCATAAATCAAGATACATTTACTTGAGAAGCAACATAAGATATTACGTTTTTTCTGAGTAAAAAAAAAAAAGTATCAAAATGAAGAGTTTTTGCTGCATACAAGAAAAAAAACTTGCCAAAGGGGTCTGAATTTTTTTATTTATTTTTATTTAGTTTATTTTCTGATCCCATTGGCAGATATTTTTCTTGTTTTAAGTAAAAACTCATTTAATTTAGGTACTTTGTACATTTTGCTAAATATATCTTAATTTAAGAATGTTTTGTACTGGAAAATGACTAAATTAAGACAAAATACTAAGAAAATCATTTTTGCAGTGCATTAAGAAAGTAAATAGACTGTTTTGATGTTATGTTGACTTTAAACAAGATGACATCTAAGGCTTTTGGGGAAAAAAACCCCAATGTTTTATTGCATATTCAATTTATATCCAATTCAAATGACAAGGAATGACATAGACCCCCAAAAATGTCGTAAAAGGGTTGCCTTCACAACGTTAAATTCATTAAAAGTGCCTTCTGTATGTCCACTGGGCCTTGACGTTTGGAGTTAAGTCTGCTTGCCTCTATAGGGGTTAGTTAAGACAGAGATTGGTGACCACTGGAATATTTGCGGTGTTATTGTCTCATAACTCACCTTTTAAAAAGCAAAAACTATAAACCCAAATCATTTGGTTGTTCCTTGTATCTCATGTCGTATTATTTCTGATTATTTTAGACTCGTATTTTCTTCAATCGCACAATGTGAGTTTCAGATAGTAAGTTCGTTCTTTTTATTTCCTGATGTAATTGTTGGGGCGTCTTGATGACGACGCGCCGCTGTAGATGTACAGACTGTTAATGTTATAGATATGATGAACAGACATGAGAAACAGACGGATTGGAGATTTCATGTTTGGTGTCGGTTTTTATTTCCAATCGTACCTTTTTGGGGTATTTTGTTTGTGGAGAATACGCTGTGTTTCGGTTTGCTTCTGTATTTGCCAAATAGGAGTAAAAAATGCTGTATTTTCTTACATGGGTGCCGTGTTTCGGAGGAATTCTGTGTCTGGGAATCAGCTGGAGGAGACACTACAGTGAACATGAACGCGTGTCATTGTTGTGTGGATTTGATCTGCCATTAAAACATTCCCCCTGACCTCTCTGAGCCCTTTTGTCCTTTGACCTCTGACCTCATGAGAGAAACCATGGGCTGAATTGTTGAGAATTGACATAGACTGTGTTTGGAATAGCATACTACGGTATTACTCTTCCCACAGCACTATTTATGAAGTATGTAGGATGTGTACACGTGAATTATTTTGAATGCATGGCAAACGTGCGGTGTGCAACTAGAGCTCACTGCATGAGATACTTTATCCCACAATGCAATGCATTCAACAATTTCTTTGACATTTAAGCCTTTAAGACCAAAACATTTTTTTATAATACAACTTCCAAAAAAATCTTGCTTCCAAAAAAAAAATTTGAAAAAAAAAAAAGTTCTCAGTATTTTCGTCTTGGTTTCTAGTGCAAATGTCTAAATTCTTAAAATAATATATACAATTATCTAAGAAGCCTTTTTTTCTGAGAAATTGGCAACAAGTAGTTCTATTCTTTATGGATTTAAAAAAAAATGTTTGCTTTAAATTATTCAGAAATGGGTCTCATCATAGATGTATAACTTATAATAATCAAGGAAGTCTATGAACCGAGATTTGCTCAGATTCTTCATATTCTACAAAGACTCTTATGGAAGTTTACGGTCTTCATTGGCTTTACATGGTTATGACAGTAAATATTGCATCCTAAGTGATTCACTGGTCAACATGTTCAATGTTTAAGTCTTGTGATTATGCTTTTGAACCAGTATTTTTACATTTATCATGCCTCGTCTCAGACTTCATCTGTCTGTTAATTAAACGTTCTTTCTAAAACTAGCATGCAGTAACAGTGTTTCCATGGTAACATTTCACAGCAATGATGCATGCTGTATTAACAGTTGGAGAGTTTCTGGAAATACTGGGGAAAAAAAAAAAAAAAGATTATTTCAGACCACTTTTTCACTGGAGCAAGTGTTATTATGGACTCGTATTTTAGTTAAAAACATCTTAATGCTGGATTTGTTTCAGCTTTTGTCTTCTCCAGATGTTAACTGATGGACTGGAGTGCTGTGGATTATTGTGATGTTTTTATCAGCTGTTTGGACTCATTCTGACGGCACCCATTCACTGCAGGAGCATCCATTGCGGAGACACTGACGCAGTGCTACATTTCTCATCATACAAACTCATCTACACCTCGGATGACCTGGAGGTGAGTAAATTGTCAGCACATTTTCATTTTTGGTTGAACTGTCCCTTTAACATCCAGTGTGTGTGTGTTTCAGACAAAAGATCTGATGACAATAACATGAACATTAATTAATCTCAGGGATGATCTTGTGGAATGTCATTTATTTAGATTACATCGCTGGGGAATGTCCACAAACGAAGGATTCATTCAATTGCTTATGAAGTAATTACAGTAAAGTACACTCTGTCTCATACAAAAATCATCAGCTGACACCACAAAATGAGAAATATTTTGGTCATGAAAGACGAGCCAATTACTACAAGTTGATTAAAATTCATTATAAAAAAAAAATAAAAAAAAGTTTACTAAACTACTGCCAGTGGGGGAAAAAAACATCCTGGTCACATTTCACCTTAAAAAAACAAACAAACCTGAAATGATATTTATTTTGATATTTTTTCAAATTTCTTTTTTGTGCAATTCTCATTCTCAATGATGATCCTTATTAGATATTTTTATTACTCTAATGCAACTATTTTTAAACTTTAAATCTGCATTAAGGCAATACAACAAATACTGTAATATATAATTACTTTACAATTTGAATAATATAATAGTCTCTCCCCCCCCCCCCCAATTCTCATTGAAATAAATCTAGATTTGTATAATAATTTTTATTTTTTTTGCAATTCTCATTCTTGATGATCCTTATTAGATTCTCATTAGATGTTATTACCGTAATACATTTAAAAAATATATATATATCTGCATCAAGGCAAACAACAATTACAATCATATATAAATGAATAAGATGTATTTTTTTGCATTACAGTAATGAATTTGGGGAGAAACGTGTTTTAATTATAATGTAAATAATGCAAAAAATATTGCTGGCCCTAAAATAGGCTTAATGGTCTTTAAACAAAATGTAATTTCTTTTTATGGAGGTGAAATGTGACCTGGACATGATCATGACAGGTTTCATTATATTAACTCATTATCAAAAATATATATAATTGCAAACGTTCACAATATGAATCCCAGAGGCCGAAAAAAAGGCACATTTAGGAAAAAGTATGCCTGTTCCAGTTTAATAGTGTTGCTGCGATTCAGGACTTAAAAAAAAACAATACAAAAAAATTGAGTGTCTTTACAAAGAACAAACAGCATAAGGATTCATCACACAATCACACCTTTAAGAACAGATCTTGTGTTTTCCCCACAGGTGTGATTGTCAGTGAGGCACATATAAGGCACTTGATAAACAGTCCATTTTCACCTGGTTTTCCTGCACCGGAAGCAGCTAATCCGGCTCACTGGCAGGGATACCTGGCCCAGGTGGGCAGCACACCCGTCTCATTGGCGATCCTCCAGTATCGCTCTCGCAGCAGAAGCGCTCCGGCTTTGGGCTGACGCTGCCGAGTGAAGATTCCCTTCTTATTCCCAACCACTCGAGTGATGGCTAGAGACGGAGAGAGATTAATGCATGCTTTTCTTAAAGAAACCGTTCACACAAATGTACATGTGCTGAAAATGTCCTCACCCTCAGGCCATCCCAGACGTAGATGAGTTTGTTTCTTCATCAGATTTGGAGAAATGTTGCATTGCATCACTAGCTCAGCAATGGATATATCAGCTGTTTGGACTCTCATTCTGACGGCACCCATTCACTGCAGAGCATCCATTGCTGAGCAAGTGATGCAATGCTACATTTCTCCAAATCTGATGAAGAAACAAACTCCTCTACTCCTTTAAACTTTGAGTTTCATTTATTAATCAGAGCAGAAAATGTGCAAATAAAGCATGCAGATTCCATACAGGTAACTAAAGATCCGTCGGACACGTTTTCATTCTCTTATCTAAAGCGTGCATGAGTGAACAGTGTGCTAGTTAATGTGTGCTATGTGTTCCAGAAAAACCTGTTCAGAGCAAAGGAAAAGGCTGCGGTCGTCTCCTACTTTGAGCCGTCATGAAGTCGGCGAAGTTCCAGATCAGCTCTCCAATCACAAACTCCTTCCTCTTCTGGTCGAACACGTTGTGGTAGTTCTGCAGGACCGTCGTCTGATACTCCTCTGTGAACATCATGGGTGGATCCTGCAGGACGACAAACGTGAGGTTCAGTGCTTCCCACAGCTGTTAATGCTGGGTAAAAAAAAAAATATATATATAAACACACACACACGGATTTATCAATGGCATTTTAGGCTTGCTTTCTCGTCCGGGGGGGGGCCCCCAAACACAATGAAGAGATATCATATTTTTGTTATAGCTTACTATGGGATATCTACAACAGTAAAAGAACCAAAAACCCCAGAAGACATTGAGCAAATAAATATATAACAAACAATAGGGTAAAAATGACCAACTATTTCCATGTCTTCCACCTTTTTTTTATGTACGGAAATCACACTTTCTTTCTCCCAGTCTCTCTCACAGACACACACACAGTGCAGACAGACACTCACACACACGGAGGGACAGAAACTTGTTGTCAGAGCTGCGGCTGCACCGCAAATTTAATCAATAAAAAAGCTACATGACATTTCTCAGTAGCGAGGTTCTTGAAGCAGTTCAACTTAAACATTCGCTATTAGTAGACGCTGCTGCTGAGAGACGCATAGACGCAGGTATTCACACGCACTTAATCTCGCTCTCTCTAATAACTGCATTAGACTGCATTAATAACTGCGTAAGCCTGCATATCAATGGCTCAAGCCTCTCTTATCAGCTCTAAAATGACGTTTTGGAATTTGCAACGGAAGGTTTGGGATGAGGTGCTTAAATTAGTTATATAATATCTAAATATACATAAATTATAGTATATTATTACAATAAGATCTGATATGCATGATTCCTTTAGTGAATTTATAAATATATAAATGTTGATGAAGGTGTGGACTCACGCTGTGTAGGCCGGCCACGGCGTCCGCTCCGTACTCGCTCTGGATGATGGGTTTCTGGTATTTGTCGTACCAGTCATCAAACTGAGTGTTGAGCTGAAGACTGATGAGCTCTGTGTGACCCGGGTCATGATACCACGACAAATAGCTGTTCACACAGATAACGTCCACATACTGCGCCTGACGAGCAGAACACAGACAATCCTATTCATCAAAACTAAATCAATCTTTCAATATGCACAAAGATTAGCCAGTTGAACATATTTCCATTTAGAAGTCTTAAAGGTACAGTAGCAAAAGCCTGCGTAACTGTAAGGGTGGAAAATTATCCTGAAAATCTCAAGTGTTTGTGATTCATCTCCAAATATACACTGAAAAAACAAATGTAGAAACCATTTTCACTGACAAATTGCTAGTAAATTTCACAAATAAATCTAAAGAAATTGCAAGTAACACTGAATTAAACATGACATTTTTAAAGCGGTCATATGATGCGATTTCAATTCTTCCTTTCTCTTTGGAGTGTTACAAGCTCTTGGTGCATAAAGAAGATCTGTAAAGTTGCAAAGACTAAAGTCTCAAATCCAAAGAGATATTCTTTATAAAAGTTAAGAGTCAGCCACACCTACCTAAAACG